GTGAGGTTCAGTATACTTTCTAGTGCAGGAGCCTAGGGGGTTAGGGTTAAGTATCAACATTTCCAGAACCAGACTTCAGCACCTACAGATCTCTTGCTGATCTGCAAGAGTACCTGTCGATCTAAGTACTCCTGGAAAATTTCAGCTGTTTTGTGTTGCAGCTAATATGCAATGCCCTTGGCTGGTTCCCTGTCCAGTCATACACTGTTTTCGGCAAATCATCGGTAGCGCGGCCCACTCTCTGTAACGTGACACGAAAGTGACGAAACAGCCATCGCTTTTGTGCAAGTGGGGCAAACTTCGTCCGGAGTGGGAAAACGGCAAAAAAAGGCAACTTTTTTTTTTCTCAAAATGAGGAAAAGACGACTTTTCTACAATTAACCCCTTCGCTACAGAGGACTGCTACTACCGCACCACTGTGTGAGGATTAGTGCATACCACACATACAGTCTATTCATCATGCAGTTGCTGGTTCAATGGGGCCTGCTGCTGGACAAAGCTCTCCATTCGGGGCATACCACAGCCCAGCAGTCGTGGTCAAAATAATTCCGCCGTGAAGGGGTCAACAACCTAGCGGATAGTTTGCACCATAAGTGGTGAACATACCGGTGCAATTTCAGCTCAGAAAATCAAGGATATCCCTATGAATCGGGACAGGGTAGTAGTATGTGACGGAGGAGTATTCGTCGGGCCCTGTTTATGGGTCTAGGTATGCTACAATTATACTATACAGCTAATGCATTACTAAAAACCTACAAATCTAGGCATACCTGCGGAGTTTTCTCCTGCACACACAGGCCTGGGCAATCATTATCAATAGTATAAACTACATGTATCATGGCTTGGCCTCAGCCACTGGTCAGAGTGATGGCTACGCACTATGTCATGTACACATACATGTACATGCAAATGCCTACCTTTTGAGCTTCGATCCCAGTTAAACGAGTCTTTTGTTCCTGATCCCTAATAATAAAAAACGGTCGGCCAAACTCATCGAATGCTAGGGATCCGATGGAAGTCATGATGAGATCTACGTGCAAAATTCAGACCAGCAGAGGAAGATGAAAGTGGATTTTGATAGGTTTCGAACGGCATGGGATAGAAAAGTACACAGTACATGCACGTACACGCAGGAAACAGAAGCAAGAATGATCTAGAAACAAATATGGCGTCTACACGCTGAAAATTTATTTTAGTAATTTCTGAGTCAGCAAGAAACATATGTAATCAAAAAGCACCATATTAAAGAATTTCATTTTGTTTAGAGCTCTAATTTTGCGGGCTTTTGGCAGTTTATACGCAGAATTCTGAAGCAAAATTTCCGAACGAGCCGAAATGATGTTGATATGAATATTCATTATTAGAACAAAGCGCCACCTCGTGGGCTGTTTCCCTGGGAACATTTCGCGGGACGCTGCGTTGTTGTTCTGCATGCCATGCACAGATTTCCTATTCGGTGAATCAGTTTGATGATTGTGTTAAAGAGAAAGTGCCAAAAGTTTTGAAGAATCAAAAACTCTGTTCCTCCACAACATGTCTCACTTTAATCTGACGCATTTGGGTTATCAAGACCCGATTAGAGAGAAGGTTTTGCAGCCCAATCCCGAGTACCGATACCAGCTCGTACAAGACGTCCCGAAAGGTTCTTACGTGACGTTCCGGCCGCCAGCATCCAAGTTACCACCCATCGACATGCACAAATACAACAAGGTTATCCAGCCCGGAAAATACGAAGAGCACGGTGGATCATACGTGAAATTCACTGAGAGATTGCACAAACACACAAGGACAAACAGTGGTGAGTATCATTCCACATTTAATCCATGTCAATGGGCCTAAATGAAATGCTTTAGGGATTTTAAAAAAAAGAAAACTTGCCTAAATTATTTAAACCTTTTTCAAAACGCCGTGATCTGCAAGGAAGTGTTGACTACGACAGTCATCTGGCTTTTTTGTTTATTTTTTGTTTCAAAAAATATATGTAAGTCTTGTCAAGGGGGTTGTTCGATTTATTTTTTTCTAACAGACAACATGTTAATCTGTGTAATCTAAAGACAAAGCAGTCTGTGAAAAATGTTCTTGGAATCAGACATGTCAGGAGGGCTACAGTATTGACCTGTCACCGTGCAATAAAAATCATATTGGTTTAAATTCTAGCCCAACATTCATGTTAGACCTAAACTTGAAATTGTAAATTTCCATGTTACTTTTAAGAAATAAAGTTCCTACAGTAAATGCTCCCCCATGCCCCCATTTGAAATCTGTGATGGAAATGCAGCTGCAACATATTTTCTTGTGCCCCCTGGCCTTGAAAAAATGTGTGCACCCCTGATCCCCCCTCCCCACATGTAGCCCTAGTTATGCCACTGCAACCTAAGTTGATACGATGACAACCATGGTCTCCTTCCAAATAATTCTAAGAGCAAACTTTGTAATTTTGTTTTTGTATGGTCCCATGAAATAAAATGGAAGATAATGCTTTTGCCCCTTTTTGGCTTCTGTTTGTTTGGGGTTTGTAGCACCTAATGAAATCTACCGAACCGAAATAACAACTTCCATGAAACCTGGTTGGTGGAGTCGCAATGATAACATTCATCAGCGAGAGCCTTGGACGCACACGCCAAGGAGGGTTTTGGTCAACAGCGAAATGACAAGGTCAGCCTCTCTGCCTCTAAATTTTTTGTAACATCAAAGAACTTAACTAAATTGATTACTTGTAATTCTGAACTGACATTGACTGATACTGACTATTATAAACATACTGAATTGCCAGTTTCCCTTGCGAAAACAATTCCTCTAGTGCCACAGCAGTATAGCTTGGAAGTTAGCTCCTATTATTGTTTTGTTACCGTGTCACATGTAAACAAGAGCTAAGAAAAAGGAGGCATGCAACAATAAAGGAAGTCACCGAAGCAAGGGTTCCAACCTCCAGTTTTTAAAAAAATGTGATTCCTCCGGCTTCTTCCCCCCCCCCAACAAAGCCACAAAAGAGATCTTTAAAACCAGAACTGTTTGTTATTTTTCATGCAGATTTGTGAATGAGATGAGTCTGACGAACAGGGAATTTTCTCTCTTCTAGGCAGAGACCAACTTAACGTGCAAGGCAGGAATTTTTTACATACATATACACTGTATATCCACCGGATTCATTTGATATCCAACTTACTTATTTGGGGATATAAACAACTGAGTACAGATGCATTCCTTTGCAAATCTCTTCCATGAAACTGACATCCTCTCAGACTACAACTGCCATGTTTCCAGCAACTCGGTCAACTCAAGGTCATTCAGGTTGTATGGTTCGTGCATGAGCCATAGCCAACCCACAGACTATGTCCAAATGGAGTGGTTGTGGCCAGGGGTAGCCATGTGTCTGCAGGAAGCAGTCACAGCCACTTGAACCGATGGCTTCCACAAGCACGCATGATAATTCTAGTCACAGCTGCAGCTGTTGCAAACAGCCACACAAAGGGGAATGGATTCAACACAAGTTCACTGGTCTGCATGACACTTTATTTGTGTATTTTGAAATTGGGACCAATGCATAAAATTTGTAGGGTTGCATCTGTCTGAAGCTGGGATCTAGGTCCCGGATACAGTAGTTTTGGTTGCAAGCACACACACTTGGGCAACTACCTGTTATGACCAATTAGTAAGTTGACTCAAATGGAAAACTAGAGGCCCCTCAGAACTTAGGATAATGAGACATACCAACATTGAACGTGTGGCATCTGTGTTGTAACTTGAAAGGGACCGGGTTTTGCAGGAACTTGTCAGAGTAGATAACTACATGTATGTAGCAGCAATGCTAGGAGTGCCATACAAGCTTCAACATTGTGTTAATGATAAACTGTTGGGATTTTGTAGTGGATTCAATCATTTTGACAAGAGCAAGGCAGGTCTAGGACAAGTGTATGTGTATTCAAGAACCTCCCCAGATACTCGGTTGAGATCCAGGTGTCAGCAAGATGTTTCAAGTGCTCATCACAAACATTGTTTGAAGTTTAATGAGTACAACTATTTCCTAAGCCAAATTCAATTTGTTGATTTTGCTAAACACATCCCACATCTAAATGCATCAATATGTCTAATTTTCATATTGTAAATAATTAAACAAACAGTAAAACAAACGTTTAAAAAAAATCACTTTTAGTACATTTTTACGATGATTTATGTAATCATGAATTCCGCTGAATTCAGTATATGACTTCTATAAAAGCATGAATTTAACCTCCGTTGTTTTGTATCAAAAATTTCCTTTTCCTTTCCAAGTAACAAGGACCATTGCTAGAGCTGCAGTATTACTAATATAACATAGTATTTGGCAGATACACATTTCTTATGTAAACAGAGACATTAGCAAAGCACCATTACATGAATATGCTACTTAGGTTAGCCCAACAGGGTCTGATTTTAATTTCTCACCTCTTTGACTATGGACACGAGTATAAGTCCATACTTACAAGACAGCAGGAGGAGACTGTGTAACAGCAGATGTCATTGGGCTAACTTGGCGGTAGTCATGTAGGAATTACTGGAACTGTGTTTGATGTTGCTTGTCAAGGTCCAAAGGAAATATTCCATGGTTATATTTTTGTAGTTTACAGTGCCTTATTATTTTGCATTATAGCACAGCAGATGGCAATTCGGATGAAGACAAGCGAGACGTAACAGTTCTGCATTACATGTATTATACCGATGCCCTTTTAATGCATTAAATACGTACATGTATACACTCCAAAACTTATATGTACATAGTGCATTTTTGTTCTCATTCAGTGCTAACGAAAAATACGAGGTGTGAATTTCCAAGACCAAGACATGTAGATGTCAAATACAGAATGGCACAACAGGGGTAGTGTGTACAGTTGATGCTCACACATGCCTACACATGTACCCAAATTGGCGTCTGAATATCAAGTAGAAATACTGTCAAGTTTATGGAGAGATCTTGAGGTAATTAAAAGAAAATTGGCATGAAGAGTCTTCATTAGTGAGAAGGTATACCTTCAAGTTGTTCATGGCATGACACCATGCCATGACCAAGTACCTACATTATCTCACGGAGGTAGACATGTATACAGTGCTGCAAACAAGATATTGGTTGCATAACAGGTACATGCTATAATGCACACTATTTCTATTGATACAACATTGGAAACTCTGCACAGCATGACCGTGTCCTGTGCGTATGTCTAATGGCCTGGCCTACCCTAGAGACTCTGACAAGTCATTTGTATCAAAGACTTGCTCAATGTGATCTGCTTTATTGGCAAAAGCCCTTTGGGAACATTTTCTTTCATTCATCGTGGGGTTTCAATTCTTCTTTTCGCTTAACTCCTGATTTTGGCATCAATTACCATACATGGGCAGAAGTGGTTTGGCTTCTGGGCTCAACAGTCCCGAAGCTGGATAGTGAATTGAGTTTAAGGTTGCACTATACCAAATCAGACCATAACAGCGCTGCCTGTTGACTCTCGTGAAGAGGTTGGCCTCTGTTAGTTCACTGGAAATTCAAGATTATGGCCAGAAGATCACTTTTCGTTTCAATTTCACGGGGTTTAGCCACAAACATTTTTTTTATTCACCTCTCCCCGAAGATGCCCCCAAAATAGTAGCAAAACTATGCGCCCAGCTCTGAATGTAGCCACCCGCCTCTATCCAAAATAGGTCCGCAATTTGGGGCTTTTGTGAAAGAAATACCCTGAACTGGAAACTATCAGTCCCAAATTTGGATTTAAAGAAATTTTTCCATGATCCCGCCTGATTATGGCATGTCCTATTGTAAAAACCCGGTGGGACCACAAAATATTAATGAGCTCACACGCAGAAATACGACCATTTGGTGGAATGCACAAGAATATCCAGATACACAGAAGTGGTCAGAACACCCTGGTGTGCACGCTTATGAAGCAAGAAAGATTTGGCACTACAACTTCGTGTAACAAACCACACTGTACACACTTCATGTTATTATTATGTAACAACAAAGCCAATAACTTTTAAGTAATAGACTTTAATACCTGAACACTTCTTCGGCCCCTGAATTGACAATGTAGCATTTTTCAATTACAGCATCCTCTCAGTCTCTAAAAGAACAAGTCACACATATAAACATTCCAAGTGTAAGATCGCTTCTGACATCTAGCTAATAATAAATGTTTCTATCCCCCTGAACACCATTTTTGCGGAGTTTCCCATTCTATATTACATGCATTCACTATTGCACAATACATGTACATGAATGTTGAGCAATGCAACATGTTCACAGTTTCCTGTATACTTTAACTTTGAAAAAAAAAACCAGCGAAAGCTAATCACTCCAAACCTTCGACTGAGATGTCTATCCCTTGCTATCACTGCCTGAATATTTAAAAATTAACTCAAATGAACTAATAGTAGAACAAACAAGTTTAAATAACCATGACACACACAAGTAAACCACAGATATTCTTAAAACGACATGATTTGCTCAAAATGTGTCATTTCCAAAATTTTATTTGTGTTATGAGTTGATGACACCTGTAGAAATTGAAGGTTGAATCCTACACACAACAATGTGCAGTACATGTATGTGCTTTAAAGTCCCGGTTGCACCTAATCGTTGCTACAAGAGCAAGGGAAGATCCAGAACCAAATTGGGGAGGGGGGCAAAAGTGGGTATTTTCTTCATGTAACCTTTTATGTCCATTCTCTGAAGGGTGAAGCTACATTTGGGGGCATTTTACGCATTTTGGAAGGAAAATAGACAAAAACATGCCTCATTATCAAAATGAGAAATTGGGAGGTCCATGGGGGCACAGCACCAGTAGCCTACACCTGGACCCCCCCCCCCCCGAAGAAGAGGTGTCGAATTTGTGACAATCTGAGTTGTTATGCTTGATCAAAAAGTTTCTGTTGGACAGCAACAATATCTACAAAGACTAGCTTCCGTAAAAATCAAACTGCTTTGAAAGCACAGAGAAAACATGATTTTCAGCATGTATTATACAATTCTGTGATGACTCTAAGCTTAAACTACTGTAAAGAAACAAAAACTCTCAAATATTGCAACAGCTACAAATATTGGCAAAATGTTGCGGACCTGCAGATTCAAAGAGACACTGAAAGGGAACATAGTACGCTTTCTAGCATGGTTAACAAGTCACCACTGACTGCTTGGCAAAGCCAGGTGAGATACCCTGTAGAACATGTGCAGTTGGGGTGGACCAATATACATGTACACAAATACCAATTTGTCAATGTACTGGGTGGTTTCCCCAATGTTTCACACAGTGTGATGGAGGTGTGCAACTGATGGGCAACGTGACAGCAAGTCGTTCAAGACACTGTGTCTGATCTGAAACGGAAATTGAAAGATACAAGGAGCTTAACAAGCACGGAAAGCAGCCACAAACGTAATGAGCCAGTTTGGTATTCCAACACCGCATGCCCAATATAAAAGGCATCGGAAGTCACTTGAAAACAGCAATATGCATGTGAGGTCTGTCCATTCAGGAAGGCCTTACGCTGACCCACATGCTTGCTTTGTTTTCGAGTGACCTTGGCTTTTGAAATACCACTGGGGGGGTTGGCAACTGGGGTTGATAATTTTTCATGGGGGGGGCAATGTCACTTGTTTGTGTTGGCCAATTAAAGCACATTCAAATGCACATCATCTACTGTACAGTGTATGCTAACTTGTCACAGTGCAAATTTCACCTGCTGGTCGACAAAGCATTGTTATTTGTGCAATAGTGACATTGAGCACATGGTCAAGGTGTCGTTGGTAAGAAAACATTCAGGCCTTTCTGGAGACATATAATACTTGATTAAGAAATCTGCAGGTTTCCTATAAATTATGATTGAAGTTGGGTGTTTGTATTCACAAGATGGGCACTTTGTTGCAATACGCCCTACCAACGAAGGAGATAATTGGTGCCAGTAAAACAGAAAGGTCACCGTGTGCTACATGAGAATTATTTGTGTATAAAAGAGAACTGAAAAGTTTGCATATATCTTCCAGAAGAGTTCAGATTTCACTACATGCAGAAATTATTGCAAGACATTGAAAAATTACAGAGTAATGTTGGAAAGTTGAATTTGCAGCAAATTTACAAGCAGTTTGAGCAAAATCAAGGTGCCAGGAAGTTGTTCAACATGCCTACATTGTTAAAAGTGACATTTATGACAAAGAAATTGAAAAAAATCAGCCAAAACAGCCACTACAAAATGTTTGCACTGGAAAGAAATTGAACCAAAACAGAACTACTCCAAAGCATGATAATGAATGTGAGGATGGTGGTGACCTTCAAAACAAAAGAACTAAACTAAACCAATAACATGATGCAGGGTATTTTGCATGATGAGAATTACTAATTTTGCAAAAACAGTTCTTCACAAATTGACTGCATACGGTGACTATACGGTTTGCCCCTCCCTACCCCCTTTCAGAGAAAAGTTGTCACTCATGTCCAATGAAATGAAAAGGAAAGTGTGTCTAGTCAATTTTTGCTTAAGTGTGTCATTCATCAACTACCATTCACGTTGACATCCAAAACTCATATACCCACTGCATGACAAAAAGCTACCACAGTGCCCACCTGACCATCCCATCATGCAAAAAATCCCCAATCCATGATCAATGTGAAATGAAATGCCAGGGATGCAGGATGCCAGGTTAAGACGACCCTTGACCCTGCCTACCTGCGGAATGCCCACCTCATTCTGCCCTGGGGGGCCAAGGACGTGCCCCTCAGGTTGATCAACGAGGGTGCACTACTAGAGCCCTGCATCATCTTGCTGTAGATGTTAACAACCACCAGCAGCCCGCACAGCAGTATGGGGCCGATGAGGGCGCCCTCCAGGCCAAAGTAAAAAATACCGCCAGCCACAGAGAGGGCCGTGAGGTAGGGGTGGCCACCGCTTTATGACAGAAAAAAGACAAGAAACTCTAGACGTACAAGTTGAAGATTCACTTCATGGATTCTACAAGATAATTTGCCTACAATTTCTTCATAACTTTGATGGGAGCTTGGAAACAAAAGGCCAATTTATAGTCAGCTGCATGTTAGAATGTTGATGGGTGATTATCCAAAAAGCACTCGTTACCAGGCACCAAAGGTGGTTCAGAGCTACAGAGTTCAAAAGATTGAACTTTTCACATGATTCTTGACCAAACAATTAACTTTTTTCACATGGATGAAATGCCCCAAGAAGTTTTAGCTCCCAGCGACCATCGGCAGGGATCTGCCGCTGCCGGTC